GGGGGAGCAGTGCTGACACGCCTAGGTGCGGTCTCACACCGCGACAACCATCTCTGCTTTCTCCGGTCTCCAGTCTTCCTTACTTGATTATAACACTGGCTGCAGGTGAAAGGGTAGAAGAGAATGCGGTAGATGCGGCGAAGGTGTATCCTTAGAAACTATCTCACACACAAGTCACCGCCTCTGTGTCTATCCTGCGGTGGTTCACACAGTGGACATCGTCGCAAATGACGATCGTGCTGTCGATTGCCAGTTTCGCGATACTCGTAAATGGGGGTATTATCGCCAATACAAGAGAACATGCGAGTCCCACGAAATAATTGAGAAGAGGACGACTCAATCGCTGGGACAATACTTTTATTTGCCTGAAGTTTCGAGATCCTTCGCGGATTCGTCATCGTCTGATTATGTCTCTAGTGCTGAATCTGCGACGGATCTCGAAACGTCAGGCGAATAAAAGTATTGTCCCAGCGATCGAGTCTTCTTCTCAGGGGTATTATCCCTGATGAGACATTATACCCCCTTTTCTGAGGTTATCTCCGATGATGGGTTCTAGCTAGAATCCGAAACGTCAGGCGAATAAACTTCTTAGTCCACCCATCGTATTTTCTATTTTCGAACTCATCATCGGGTTTCAATCTAATCGTTTCATTGTACAGAGGTGGCATTGAAAATAGGACATATCAAATGCTGCGTAAGTCCTCTACACCATAATCTGCATCATCCGTAAATCATTCTCATCGCCGCTTCCCTCCCACCTCCAACACCAACCCCGCCGCACCCTTGCCCAGTTTATGACTGGTAAACTAGCATACTTGGCATAGTCATCAGTCGCATGTCTGGGGAGAAATGTTCGCAATACCCCGTTCAAACAATACCGGTATAACAGTGCTTTGTGTCCTTCCAAAGTTAACTTCCCAGCATACCTATCTTACACGTGATTTTTCTAACTCGAAGCTGTCCAACTTGTTCATATTGTGTTGTTCGACTACGCCCAATTTAAACAAGGAGTCACTTGTTTTACCAGACGCACGTGACCAACCCTTGGTTTATTTATACATGATAAGTCAGCCAGTGCTTTCGCCGGGCTAGCGACTGTCGGCGTGCCGTGTTTGCGCATAACTTGCCTTTTCCTTGGCTCCCCCTCTCTCTCTGTGTGTGTCGCGTGTCCTACTGCGGTGCCATATTTTCATCTCAGTGCCCTGCAGCTGCTAAACCATTTGTTTTAAAAATTTGATTTGTGCTCACGAAGGTCGTCCTCATCCAGCCGCCGAGGACGCCCGATCCATATAACCTTCCTAATGGTAAATCATCTGCAGCCTCATCACTGCAGAAGGAAGGTTCAGAAGGCTTTGTGAGTCTGTGTTTGTGTTCAAGTAGTTTGATAACTTTCTAACATGTGCACCCAGTGACTACGCACACTTTAGTCGGGGCCTTTTTCAATCACCGGGTTCCCAAGCACCTTCTATTTCGCAACGCTTTACATTTTCACAAATTGAGGCAAAGCTTCGTATTTAAAGTCTGCGCATAAGTAGGGAAGAAGAAGGAGGAGGCTTTTTGATTGCCGGAAGTATTTCTTCCCTCACCTGAGTAATAATTATAGGGAGATGTGAGCCAATCAAACACCAGTAACGTAATGTGACTGCGCTAATCTGCGTATGTCGGTGCCAGATCGATACTGTAGTGTGCAAGCAGTCAGCAGGCAATCTCAAAGAGAATTCCCTTAGGAAACAGCTAGTTTATTGAGATTGGGAGTGAACAGGAGCAACGAAACACGAAAAGGGTGCGGTGTAGCAGGAATTCCGAACGAAAAGGGGGTCACCGGGAAGAAGCCAGAGCACTTTGCTGAGTCACAGCCGGACGAAAAACGGAATTGCCCAATCAGGCCTCGTCCTCGGCACCTTTGTCCACGGTTGGCTCTTCGGTTTCTACGAGGACAATCAGATGTGGGAGGGTGAGTTAAGGAAAAGGATTTTAAATAGTAATATCCATTACAATGCATCGATTGATAAAGTTCCCATCGGAGGCCTAGGCCTCAGTTCATCCCCGGCTGCTCTTGCTTCTGGTGCGGGCAATAATCCTCGTGGCTGCTAAGTTACTTCTCGACCGGTTTTGCAGGCGTGGGTAACCACTTGTGGTACTCACCCGTCACCCCGTTGTACAGCCAACTGATGTTCGCATATGCTCTATCTCAGCATGCTTTCACTCTGACCTGTGTAGTTCCAAAGACAGTTTAGGCACTAGATACAGTGTACTACACTGGGATCTAGTGGGTCTTTTATCACAATGACCCGGCTGCGCATGCTAGCTTCATCGCAATTTACTCTCGTTCCGCCCACAGCTATTACATCATTTCCTCGACTTTGACTGCATATGCACCGTTAAGATGGCAGTCGGCCGAGTCGCTGCGACTATCTCCATGGGAATTTTTACGTTAACGGAAAAGGCTAGGAAGCGGGATGAGGGGACAGGATACCATCGTGTCTGATTTAGCCTGCTGGTCGAGACACTTACCGGGGTATGGCCGCTAAGCGACAGAGAGAGAGCATAGCCCAGGGGGCGATGAGATAAGCACACGGGTGCCCCGTTAAGCTGCACATAGAACTACCTGTCACTCCTACACGGTGTGTCTTCGTGGCGAACATCTCCTACAGCTCAGGTTCTCATTGTGGGGTCTACTAACCTTGAGACTAACCGAGACAAATCCGGGGGATTTAAGTGCAGTGCAAGGATAGCGTTGTCTGCGCAGTTTTACTGAGGCTTCCTTCATGCCAATCACATGAGCACACACACACACACACGCCCTCCCCATCCCATACACACACGCCGTATTTCACACACATTTGCGTTTTGCCTTCTCTTATGGCACGCAGTCTTCCTGTTATTAACACCTCCCGTTAATTTATCGTTTTCTAGGCGGTTGCAGTTGGGTTGAGTTGACATCAATTGCGTTATTAATAGTATTGCTTACTTTTCCGCCAAACATCTCATTGTTTTCACTAAAGGCCCCCTCTTGAAGGTGGCATTCTTTCAGTTTCTCCCACTAGCACATTCTTGACGACTTGTTTTTCGTTATTTATTGTTTACCAGTTTACATTGGATGTACATAAAGACAGGTGATTAAATTCAGGTAGACGGTGGAGAGGAGAGACTTCTTGTTGGTAAATTCACCTCTAGGCTCCGTGATAGTGACTGTGCCCAGCATTCCAGGGTGTTAGTTATGTGACTTCGGTCGCTTTAATGGCGCTGATGCCATAGCAGAAGCCACCGCATTTCCGTAAAGTTGGAATTGTGGATTTCGTCATAGCTTCGAAGCTGCGCGACCCTAGTCACGGTTCTCCCTAAAAAGTCCGGTTGCGATTTCACGGTTATCGCTATTCAGGTTCTTGTTAACTGATTCTAGGATTGGGGGGATAAATAGCCGAAGCAGATCACTTTCGATCACTATGAACCTGCGTTTTGGCACCGGGACGTGGGTAACACGATCTTAATGCTTGAAAGAGCGAAGCTATCAGATTTCTAGGACCTGCTTAATAGGCTGCCTCGGTGTGAAGGAGAAGCTCAAGTGAACCCAGCGGTGTAACTGCTTTAGGAGGGGGGGGAGGGTGGTTTGAATGCGAATCTACCTAATGGCTTATCTCGCCAACTTTTTTAAGCCAACGCGCTGTTGAGCTAGAAAGCATGTTGGCCGTCGTAGTCGTTCGTGTGAAGGCTCCCGCAGTTTGACGGCCGCAAGCGACGCCAACCACGAAGTAGGTGCATCACCAGTGTGGAATAATTTATAGCGAGACGAACTGACCTAGCATCTACTACACTCTTTCATCCACCGGGCTCCGATGGCAAGACAATTTCCAAACTACCGGAAGTGAACGTTATTGTCAGAGCCGACAAAATTGTACATTCCATATAAGGGAAGGCAACTTAGGTTATTAGGGAAGACCCTGGCCTGGTCCCGGATAAGAAAAGGTGTGGGACGCCAGTTAGAAGAGTAGTGTTCTCTGTACAGAACTATTGGAGAGGAAGTTGGAAGAAATTATCAGCTTGACAAGGGCATGTCCGAAGCCGCAAGCGTGGTGTCGCCAGTTGTGAGTCCGTGGGGAGTCCTCAGAGCGCCTCTAGCACGGCCATTTATGAGTCAGCCTTAAATAGGATTGGCCGGTTAGGATAGCCGAGGTTGCCGCCGCTTGTGCGCTCATGAGAACAGTCCCTAGAGATTCAGCCTTACAACACACCCCCAGCGTTGGGCCACTACAGGGTTTCACATTAACAAGAATGCCGTAAAGATCACAGTGAGGAAAAACCATTGACATCTGGCTCGCAGTCACGAGAAGGACCGAGTTATCTCCTCACTTGGCAACCACCCAGACCGCAACGCTTAACCCATCGTGAAAAGGGATTCCCCGGTGTCGGTATCTCATTCGTTATCTGCCCGCGGCTCTGTCGATCAAGTAGGGATCGGACTGGGACCAGTGCTTAACGCGGCGTTAAGGCCTGTATCTAATTCATGCCTCCGAATGCGTGTGTAGAACAG